GCGACGTAGAGTTTTTAACCCTTCCACTGCTGGTCAGCTCTCTGCTGCCTTTGAACAGCTCTGTGCTCCCTCTGGCTCTGCTGTTGACACCGAACAGCTGAGCTCCTGGTTTGACTCCTCCTGTCAAACCATTTTGGACTGTGTAGCTCCATCTAAACTGGTGCGGCCTAAAGCCAGATCTGAACCCTGGTGTAGTGAACTAGGCCTGAAGGTCAAAACCCTGACCTAAGGACCATTGGGACAGAACTGTCATTTCATTGATTTGCATCCAGAAATACAGGTTGATCCATCCTGAGACTTTCTTTTCTGTTATTAATCAAGTAAAAGAAGACTATTCTCTATTATCATTACTATTTTACAAATGTTTGATAATCAAATTGTGTTAGTTCAAACAATGTTTGAATGTTGAAGTGAACTACTCATTTTTTATTAACTGTGAAACAGTAATAATGATTCTTAATCCTCATTCAAAGTGAAATCAAGTTGGAATACGTTACAGAGTAATGATTCAATTTCTTGATTTTCTGTCTTCAATGAGCGAAGTTGTAAGTGTGTCGAAGTTCAAGTTTCGGTCAACTGAAAGTTTACTGAAAAGAAATGTCATGTTTAACTTTTACAGCAAGATACTGGAGAATTGGCTCCACGAAGTCTGGTTTCTTCATAATATCTTTTGGTCTGTTCTTAAACAATCTTAATCTTTTCCTTGACTTTTCATAACACCTTACATCACAAAACACACCTCTGTTTGGGTCCATTGACCAATCAGAAACTCCCAAATGAACCGGAAATAGAGCTCTTTAAAATGTCGGTACTTCCTAGTTCAACTGGAGAAGTTTTGAGTCGACAGTAGAGTTTGGAGGCGAGTTGGGAAACAGGAAAATCCTGACATGACCACAAAGCTCTTCCGAGTCTTATGGGATTATAACATTTTCCACCTCTGGGTGGAACTCTGACGGACTCCACTCGTGAGTCCACTCGTGAGGTGAATTTGTGTCGGACGGAATACCGTCACTACTTCGGACGATTCACAGCTGTTCCTACGGAGACGCTGAAAGGGTGCGTTAAATGGAACTTCGTACCAGGGACATCTCCAGGTAAAAAGTTGATTTATAACACCTAAGTGTACTGGGGAAGAAGCTGAAAGAGCCCGGAGAGTGCCGTTCTGAATGCTGACACAAACAAACCCCTCACCCATCCTTTTCTCCCTTTAAACTTCATCTTTCCATCTTTAAACTCTCCTATCTGCTAGCAAATTAATCCAGATATTTTTAGAAATGTCTGAAGCAAAGTTTTCACCACCGCCGTGTGGTAATACCTGCTGTTTTGTTGGAAGTTAGAACGATCGCCGCATTGTTCACTTCCTGTAAACTGATTAATAGCTGTCGTTATTCTCAATTCTTGCCAATTAATGTAAATGTGTGATGTGTTAAACTTGATTCTGTTAATAAATGACCCACTGTCGTGGTGAGTCAAAGATAATTAATGTCTCACGTCCACATTTTATTACATTCAATGCACATACATTATACAGTCCAGAAAAATGAAAGAATCCGTTTTAACAGTATGAATATATCTCATCAATATGTTCTACTACACTGGTTTAATGAAAAAACTATTGCAGCCAGACAGGAGTGCCGCAGAGCTGAACGGAGGTGGACAAAGGATAAACTGGAGGTTTCATTTTACATTTTAAAGGACTGTCAACATCAGTACCAGAACACTGTTAAAGAGGCCAAAAAACAACACTTGTCAGATATTATTGTGTCCAATCATAATAATCCATGTGTCCTTTTTAAGACTATTGACTCTGTCCTGAAGGCCCCACAACCTGTCTGTCTGGAAGCCTCTACTGAACTTTGTAATGACTTCCTGCAGTTTTTTATAAATAAGGTTGTTACCACAAGGGCCCTTATTTCAGCCCCTGCTTTTGACCCCTCCTGCTTGGTCCCCTGCCTGGCTGTGTTTGATAGATTTGAACCAGTGACCCTGACCCTTTTAGAGGATGTGGTCGGCCATATTAGACCATCAGGTTCTCCTCGTGACCTTGTCCCCCCTCGTCTTTTAAAAGAGGTGTTTTCCAGCATCAGTCAGGTGATTCTTGCTGTTATCAATAGCAGTCTGTCCTCAGGTGTTGTCCCAATAAGTTTTAAACATGCTGTGGTGCAGCCCCTGCTTAAAAAGCCTAGCCTAGACCAAACTGTCTTGGCTAATTTTAGGCCCATCTCCAAGCTGCCTTTTATTTCAAAAATTTTAGAAAAAATTGTATATTCACAGGTCAAATGTTTTCTGGATGAGCACAATATCCTGGAGGTTTTTCAGTCTGGCTTCAAAACTCACCACAGCACAGAATCAGCTCTAGTCAGAGTTTTTAATGATATTTTTATGGCTAATGATTCTGGTGAACATGTGGTTCTTGTCCTGCTCGACCTAACAGCTGCCTTTGATACCGTGGACCATAACATTTTAATATCACGCTTACAGCACCAAGTGGGTATTTGTGGTACTGCACTGAGCTGGTTTAGGTCCTATCTGGCAGACAGAACCATGTCTGTCAACATAGCTGGGTCTGAATCCTCCACTGCTCCTCTGTGTTTTGGGGTTCCACAGGGCTCTATTTTAGGTCGCCTGCTTTTCTCCCTTTACCTGCTTCCATTGGGATCAATCCTTAGAAAGCATGGGATCTTTTTTCATTGTTACGCTGACGACAGTCAGATCTACATGCCACTTAAAAAGATGCCCCCTCAATTAGGCCACTTCTGTTGTGTCTTGAAGACATCAAAGCCTGGATGTCTTTAAACTGCTTAAATTTCAATGAAAAGAAAACAGAAGTGATGGTGTTTGGTCCTAGTGGCTCTTGTGAACCTTGCCCTGTTGATCTGGGCCCTCTGGCACCACATGTAAAGAAAACTATTTCTAACTTGGGTTTTAAAATGGACAGTGATTTTAAATTAGAGTCCCAGATTGGAGCGGTGGTCAAGACCAGTTTTTATCACCTCAGCCAGCTGGCTAAGGTAAAGACCATCCTTACAAAACAGCAGCTGGAAACAGTAATCCATGCCTTCGTCACCTCTCGGCTGGATTACTGTAACGCTCTTTACCTTGGAGTCAGCCAGTCCTCCCTCAGACGCCTCCAGTTGGTCCAGAACGCTGCTGCTCGGCTTCTAACTGGAGTTCATGAGAGGGAGCACATCACCCCCACTCTTGCTTCACTCCACTGGCTGCCTGTTCATTTTAGAGTTCATTTTAAGATTCTTTTATTTGTTTTTAAAAGTTTAAATGGTCTTGCTCCATCCTACCTCTCTGAGTTGCTTCACCCATACTCTCCTGCTCGGTGCCTCAGATCAGCTGATCAGCTGCTCCTGGAGGTGCCGAGGTCTAAGCGGAGGCTCAGAGGGGACAGAGCTTTTTCTGTTGCTGCTCCAAGACTGTGGAACGATCTCCCTCTTCCCATCAGACGAGCTCCTTCACTGTCCAGTTTTAAAACTCTTTTAAAAACACATTTTTACTCCCTGGCTTTTAGCACACACTGAATTTACTCTGCACTGTTTTTATTACTTTTATTGATCTTAATGTTTTAACAACTGTTTTTATGTGTTTAAATGTTCTTGATTTTATATGTACAGCACTTTGTGGCAGCTGTGGTTGTTTTAAAGGGCTTTATAAATAAAGTATTATTATTATTATATTATATTATAACATGGATTTTGCTCTTTGGCATCGATGGACTGTTCTATCGGCTTTTGAAGAAGACATTGGCAGCAGTTTCAGCCATGCCAAAGAAGTGTGAAGAATTGGTTTGTGCTGTGAGTACTCAAAATCAGCGGATTTATGAGCTAAACCGTAAGGTGGAGGCGATTTATGAGAATCGCAGACTACCTGCGGCTTCTGGGACTCGTCAGCTTGGTTGGATAGACCTTGAAGGAGGCTCATAACTTGGATCAGTGGAATGGATTCCTACAAATCAGGCCATTTTGAAAGTTCCAGAAGGACTCAAGGCTGATGAAAAAAATCTGACTGCCTGAAGAAAATAAACAATCGAAGCTTATCTAAATCTAACCTCCCCCGTTTGGTCTCGAAGACGGGCCGACTATCAAATTTTTCCTGGGTCATGGGTAGCCAGGGATAAAAGCTTCATCTATCTCATCTGATCTGAAAAATGCTCATGGACAACTCTCAACACCTTGACGTCAAATGCATATGTAATCATGCTTTAAAAGGTGCTTGCTGGTAGTTTTTTGATGTCTCAAATCATGTCCTGATAGGACAAGATGTGATGAGATCTTTTTTGTAATGCCACTATCTAACCTCATGGCTCTTCCCTATCTAAAAGTATTATTTTGAACAAGAATAAGAGGGCCGCACTTTCAGCAGCAGCTTTGTGCACTCCGTCCATCTTTCGGACGACTGTACGTACATGTTCTCGTTGTATCTCGTGGCAATGATAATAAAACTTATTCTGATTCTGAGAAACTCTTCTTCTGGTGATGAGGTGAGGCATGTTATAGTCACTTAACTCACATACAGAAAAACCAGTTAATAATATTTATCTGAAGAGAAGATTGCTTCGAGTTTTCACTTTGTTGCAGTCTTCCATCCTAATAGAGCACAGATGTGTTTTAGGCAGAGTGATCGGTTCTGTTGACAGGGTGGAGCACCCTCCTTGCGTTATAGCATGAAAGCACTGCTATCTATTTAACCAAGCAGAAGCAGCTGGGGATCATCTCAGGCTTCAACAAAATAAAACTCTTCCATTGATGTAGGTTCAAATGAAGTTCAAATGAAGATCTTTATAAAACAGTCTTTCATTAAAAGCAATAATGCCTTTTTAGGGTGTGGGGAGCGCTTGTAAGGCCTCTGGAAAGACCAACCTTGTCTGTAGGGATTCACTGTGGTTTGTGTTTTAGTCCTGGAGCTTCAAAGTTTCCATCATTGTGAAGCTGCAGTTGCTGGAGGACCACCTCGTGGTCAGAATTCTTATTTGTTTTGATTTTTTTCTCCAGCTCCTGGGAAGCTCGTCTGGCATCCATGTACAGCCGAGCACAGCAGTCTGCTGCATCATCCTCCTCCCACCCTGCTGGGACGTTCTGGTCTTCCTCGCCTCTCTGCCTCCAGTCCCAGCTTGATCCATCCCCAGTCCACAGCAGAGCTCCTCCTGGTGGGATCGTCAATGTACTCTCCATCTCCAAACCATCCATTCCATTTCTGCTCAGCGTGTCAGAGTTCTCGGTTCTTCTGACCTTTGTCACACCGGGGAACAGACAGACCACAGTGGCATTGTGGGATCTGGAGTCCAGGAAAGTAAGCTATCATCGGGCCGAGGGCGAGGCGGCTCCAGTTCAGCTCTGTGGGGAAAGGCAGCACCGGCTGCTGCTAAAGAGTAAGTTCAACATCGTGACAGCTTCACCTTTAAACACTGAACTGGTTTTTACCACCCATCACAAAGGCAGGGCAATAACCTGTGTGTCTGTTAGCAAAATATTTAATGTACCAGAGGACAGATTTTAACTAGAGAATTTGCATTTCCTGCGAAAATGCAAGTGTGAACGCCTCTTGCTTACGAATGTCAAGAAAACAGTCGAAAAGTAGCTTAAAATAGTAGAAAGAAACTTCAAATATCAGAAGGAAGCAGAATGTGCAAAATTGTTCCTAATGTAATAGACTGCCAGGCTGCTGTCGATGTAAACTGTTGATCTGACAGTACTTTGTGTTTGTGTTTGCTCTCAGCTACCACTATACCAAATTTCATTTGAATAACTCTAAAAATGTCTGAGTTATTATATTTCTTCAATTTTAGCTAAGGTGGCCATCTTGGATTTTTTTATTTGGATGCAGTTTGTGATAGGGAAAGTTCTCTGCTATAACCTCACCAAATTTCAGCTCTGTATGTGTAAAAATGACGGAGTTAAATCCATGGTTTGAGAGAGGAGTAAAGGAGGCCATCTTTGTGAAAAGAAATCATCATTAAACAGGGGTGGAGCCTCCGGGTTCAACTGTCCCCCTCTTACAATGCTGTGATTGCTAGTATCACTCAGCCCTCTGTGAACAGTAAACAGCCATCAGGTGCTAATGATCCATTGTTAGGCTGATGGTCCTTCTTGACCATGTGAGCAGCTGGTTCTGGTTGTCAGCAGCAAACTGGTTGATCCACTCTGAGAAGGTGCTATTTAAGAGACTGAGCTGAATACAGCACCTCAGACTGAGGAAGTCTCTCAGATGAGAGACGAAACGTATCTATATTGTTTTGCTTTGTTTTTTTTTGAATGTCCAGATGACCAGATTGAACTTTTTTAGACCATACAAAAGTAGTCTTGGTGGCCATCTTGGATTTTTGATTTTCATGCACATTTGATGGAAATTGTCAGCTGTCATCACACCACCTTTAAGCTCAATATGATTAAAATTGGCAGATTTAGAGTATTTTTCCTTTTTTGCTAAGCAGCCATCTTGGATTTATGATTTTCACTTAGTCTATTAGAGATAGGTGTCAGCCAACAATGTGCCAAATTTCAGCTGAATAGCTGTAAAAATGGCAGAGTTATCCTAGTTTTTCTCTAAAACAGCTGAATAGTAGCTAAACAAATCTAGAAAGAAGCTTAAATTTCCAAAAGGAAGTGGAGGGAGCTTAATTGGGCCCACTAAGTCTGAAAAAGGCAGAAATTCGCACAAAAAAGTTGAAATTATCTGAGAAAAGCTGTGTTTTTGCCAAAAACATGAATAGTAGCTAAAACGAGCAGAAAGAAGCTTAAATTACTAGAAGGAAGTTGGGGGAGCATGTTTTTGCTGAATTAGGCTGGAAAAAGTTTAAATGATTGCAAAAAATGTAGAATTGTCTGATAAAGAGGAAATTAGCATTTGAACAGCTAAATGCTAGCTGAAATAGCAGAAATAACTGAAACCTACAGAAATAAGCCGAAAGGAGCACAACAAGCTGAAATTAGTCGAAATAAGTTTAAAGAAGCATAAAATTCTTGAAGTTAGCAGAATCAAGCTGAAAGTAGCACACAACAGCTGAAAATCACTGAAGTGCTGAATTTTTCCAGAAATTTGCACAAAGCTGAACCAGAACAAAATGTGAAAGGAGCAGTGAAAGGTTGTAAACAGATCTAAAGATTTGAAGGATGTAAAATGAGCTCAATTAATTTTCTATGAGAAAAAAGTGACAGAAACGGCAAAATTTTTCTACCAGTTAAATTTGAACCAATACCAAAAGTCATATCAGTCATGTCCTGAAAGAACTGAATGTTTTGAGGTATGAATTGTTGAAATATCACAAAAACTCTGGGAGTAGTTAGATGCCGTAAAACATACGGAAGAAAAAGTGGATCTCAATAGTGTGAATGCTAGGGGTGTAACGGTACATGTGGGTGTGGGTGTGGCTGTACCACATGTGGGTGGTACAGCATGTTCGGTTCGGTCCACGTGCGTACTGTTTCGGTTATTTTTTCACTCATTAAATTTTATTAATGAGAGATTGTGCGCCGCGGAACTAAAGTTTCAGCACGGCGTTATTATCTTGCAGCACGCACAGCATTAGCATTCTAGCATGTCGTTATGGTCTCCTGTTTGGGAACATTGTCTTTCTTGTTAAAAGACAAGTGAACAAATCAAAGCTGTGTGTCAACGTCGTTTCATGGAGTTTGGATCTGCAGCAGCAACACGCTGAACTTGTTAAGTTAACAAGTCTGTCCCTCCTCGGAGACGGGCAGACTGAGCGGGGCAGATTGGACGCGGCTGGCTGGGGTCGGGCTGCTTGTTTCGGGTTGAGCAAAGAGCAGTGCCCCGCTGAAGCCAACAAAATGTTTGTTGAAACAGTTCAGGATCTCGTGCTTATTTGACACAGGAACAGAGTTAATGAGAAGTTGTGATGGGAGGTCAGATGATTGGGGGTGCCTGAGAGAGATTTAATTGTTTTCCAGAATCTGTTAGGGTCATTTAGATTTTTGGAGGTCTGAGATAAGAAATAGTTGTGTTTTGCTGCTTTAACAGCAGTTGTGCATTTATTCCTCATCTGTTGAAAACTCAACCAATCAGTGTCTGAGTCAGATTTTCTCGCTGCAGCCCAAAGATGATCTCTCCTGTGCAGGAGGTCAGCTAGCTCTGGAGTAAACCAGGGGCTGTCTCGTCCCTTTATTCTGAACTGACATAAAGGAGCATGTATGTTCAGGAAATAAATGAAACTGTTATGAAAATAGTTCCAAGCAGAGTTCATGTCATCAGTTAACAGAATACGATGCCAGTCAAAGTGAGACAGATCCCAGAGGAATGACTGTTCACAAAAAAATGTTTCAAATCCCTTTTTTTGATTAATCTGGGCTTACAAGGTGGAAGTTTAATATCTCTCAAAGCAGCTGTCACACAATGATCACTCAAAATGTTAGCCAATACACCTGTACCAGGGAATTTGTCAAGTCAAGTCAGATTTATTTATAGAGCACATTTAAAACAGAAACTGTTACCAAAGTGCTTAACAAAAATATCACATCATCAAATAAAAAGTAACAAGATATATTTACAGCACATGGAATAAAAATATAAAACCAAAAACAATTAGAAACAATGAAATACTAAATCAGATCACGTTGTGTCAAAAGTCAAGGAAATAATAACAAAAAGCATAAACTCAGTCAGAAACAATGAAATACTAAATCAGATCAGATGACCTTGTGTTAAATAGGAATAATAACAAAAGCATAAACAGAATCAGCATCAATGAAAAACTAGATCTAAAGCTGATCACCCTGTGTTAAATGTCAGTGAGTATAGATGTGTTTTTAGGAGAGATTTAAAAGCAGAGACTGAAGTGGCCTGTCAGGTGTTGATGGGCAGATTGTTCCAGAGTTTAGGGCCCACGACTGAGAACGCTCGATCTCCTCTGAGCTTCAGCTGGTTTTTGGTACGGCCAAAAGCAGCTGGTCTGACGATCTCAAAGCCCGAGAAGGAGTATAAGGATGAAGAAGATCAGAGAGGTATGATGGTGCAAGGCCGTTAATGCACTTGAATGTCAGCAGGAGAATTTTAAAATCAACTCTGACACGCACAGGAAGCCAGTGAAGAGAGGACAGAACCGGAGTAATGTGCTCAAACCTGTGAGTTCCTGTTAAAAGCCGAGCTGCAGCATTTTGTACGAGCTGGAGACGTGAGAGTGAAGCCTGACTAACCCCAACATAAAGTGAGTTACAGTAGTCCAGCCGGGTTGTAATAAATGCATGGACTACTTTTTCAAGGTCAGATCTGGACAGAACGGACTTAAGCTTTGCTATTTGCCTTAGCTGAAAGAAGCTTTTTTGTAGATCAGAGTTGATCTGTTTATTAAACTTAAAGTCCGAGTCTAACACTACCCCGAGATTGGTAACCGACTGCTTTAGATGTGGCTGAAGGGAGTGCAGGTTTACAGGATCAGTGACAGTGGTAGAGCTTGGGTTAAACACAATGACCTCAGTCTTCTGATCATTAAAACTCAAGAAGTTTGCAGCCATCCGAGTCTTGATGTCATGAAGACATTTTAGCAAAGGGTGGATGGAGCAGGAACTGTTTGGTTTTAAAGGCAGATATATCTGAGAATCATTGGCGTAACAGTGAAACAAAATACCATGTTTCCTCAGGATTGACCCCAAGGGGAGCAGATACAATGAGAACAGAAGGGGTCCAAGAATGGAGCCTTGTGGGACCCCACAGGAAAGAGGGACAGAAGCAGATAAATGATTGCCAAAGTTAACACCGAAACTCCTGTCACCCAGATACGAACGGAACCATTCTAGCGCCACCCCTGTAATCCCAACCCAGTGTTCTAGCTGTGACATAAGGATGCTGTGATCAACAGTGTCAAATGCAGCGGTAAGGTCGAGGAGTACCAGGATCACAGACTGACCAGAGTCATTTGCTAGCAGAATGTCATTACAGACCCTTACTAAAGCTGTCTCAGTGCTGTGCAGTTGTTTAAGTCCTGACTGAAAAATCTCAAAAATTCCATTTACATTCACAAACTTGGTTAGTTGACTAAAAACTATTTTCTACAAGATTTTAGAAAGAAATGGAAGTTTTGAGATTGGTCTGAAGTTTGAACAAGCTGCAGGGTCAAGTCCGGGTTTTTTAATTAATGGAGTTACCACTGAATGTTTTAGAACATCGGGGACCACACCTGTAGCCAAACTGCTGTTAATAATGGCAAGAACAGAGGGTCCAGTTGATGGTAGAACCTGTTTAAAAAATGCAGCAGGGATGGGATCAGCAGGGGAGCCTGAGGGCTTCATGTGATCAACGACCTCATTTAAAAATGAGAGTGAGATGGGGTCAAAGTGACTGAAGACTACTGAGCAGGGGACAAGAACTGTAGGGTCGGCTGTGGAGTGTGGAATTGATGACCTAATCGACTCAACCTTTTCAACAAAATG